ACACACACACACACACACACACACACACACACACAAACAAGCCTTTGGCTACATCGGAGCTATTTTTGGCACTGTTAAGGAAACAGCGACTTACATGCTATAGGGTTCAGCCAGTCAGCGGATTTGTTCGGTTTTTGGTTGATATCTTTCATAGTTGTTGCTTCCAGACACAACAGGTAGCGCAGGTAATGCGAAGTTGGCTCAGCTCGTTTTTTAAAAACCATATTCAGAGCTCTCAGTGTGAACAGCTAATGTGCACTAAACTCATCGTAGACGTATGTCAGATTTAGTGTCACATAGATGACGGGCTGAATCAGGTGACCCTGAATCCTTCCTCAGTTGCGCTGAAATAAGTCTTGGCTGCTGGGGTCCTCCCATGATGCACCCTGTTTCTTCTTCACTCACCTTCTCACTCACTATGTACTGCATTTAATCATTAGTTATTATTAATCTCTGACTCTCTTCCACGTCTTTTGTCTTGAATAACCTCCAACTTGTTACGGCAGATGCCCGCTTCTCCCTGAGCCTGGTTTTCTTCCTGTTAAAAGGGAGTTTTTCCTTCCCACTGTGGCCAAAGCACTTGCTCATAGCAGGTCGTGTAATTGCTGGGTTTTCTCGATTTTCTCTCCATTTTTGTAGGGTCTCTACCTTACAATATAAAGGCGCTTCAAGCAACCGTTTTGTTGATTTGGCACTATGTAAATGAAATTGAACTGAACTGAATGATGGATGTAAAATAACCAGTAAAATATAAAAAGAGTGAAAAATGTTTTGCTCAGAGAAAGAATTTGATAGTGTGCCAAAAGTGGAACTTTGGTATTGCATGAGGAAGTCAGGAGTGGCAGAGAAGTATGTGAGGGTGGTGCAGGAGGTTCATGAGACAGTGGTGAAGTGTGTGGTAGGAGTGACAGATAGATTGAAGGTGGTGGTGGGATTACACCAGGGGTCGGCTCAGAGCCACTTTTTGTTTGCAATGGTGATGGACGGTTTGACAGATGAGGTCAGGCAGGAGTCTCCGTGTACTTTGATATTTGTCGATCACACCTGCCAGAGTAGGGAGCGGGTGGAAGAGATGCTGGAGAGGTGGAGGTATGTGCTGGAAAAAAGAGGAATGAAAATCAGTAGAAGCAGGACAAAATACATTATCTGTGAATGAGAGGGAGATGGGTGGAAAGGCGTAAGGAGCAGAGGTAGCGAACGAAGTTTAAATACCTGGGGTTAACCATCCAAAGCAACAGGTGGTGCACAAGAGAAGTGAAGAGGAGAGTGCGGGCAGGGTGGAGTATTTGGAG